ACACACACACACACACACACACACACACACACACACACACACACACAGAGCTAATACACTGGATCAGTGCCAGACACACTGACTAACAAAGGTGAACATTAGCCTCAGATTGATATTTGGTAACGCGATACCCGCTTTTACGCACAGACCTGCGTCCACATCCAGCGCTTTGCACCGGGCCCGGTGGCTCTGTTTGATGTGAACAAAACTCTCACATTGTTCCCTTTATCAGCACGCCTGCGCGCGCGCACACACACACACACACACACACACACACACACACACACACACACACTCCTTATTGGCCACACACCATGCCACAAGCACAGCATGCCCTCACAAGTTACTCCTGGTCCAAACAACGGAGGTGAGCAATCAGATCAGACAGCCATACCATCTGTAATTTCCTCTCCAATCCTTTTTTTTTCCCCACATCGTTTAACTTTTTGACTTGCAGTTGTTAACCCTTTGAGGGCTCTGACCACAATGAAATATCACAGTAGGCCTACCAAGTACCATGTAAAGGTGAGATGGCTTCATCAAGCAGCAGCAGTGAGGCAGCCTGATGCTTATAACACTGATATAAGCATTAGTCCGCCTCACTGCTGCTATGGTGGTCTGTCGAACATGGCCTGTTCGGAGAGAGGGAATTGATCATGCCCCGCAGTTTGAAAGTGACTAATGCAAACACAAAGGTTACAATAGAGAGCTGTCTAGTGTTGGGAAAATTCATCTTCAGCCTCGCCGCAGGCCATTAGCATATTACCATGACACAACCAGAAATGCATCAAAGGCCGCTGAATCAAACAAGCAGCCTTGCAGCACACATCGACAGCTTCACCCATTGTGTGTGTGTGCTGTCCAGAGGGGGCTTGATAAAGAGCTCTGAAATGTGTGTGATGCTGCATGTCAGCACGTGATGACAAAGCACAACTCAGCATTCAGACCCACTCAACCGTGCTCCGCTCTCAACCTTTTTCTCTCCGCTCATTCCTTCCCTCTATTTCCCCTTTTCCTTTCTGCCTGTCCTTTACCTCACGCAACTTTCCCCCCCCCCCCCCCCCCCTTGTCCTTTTATTCCTCCTCCTCCTGTCAAGCTTTTGTTCTTTTGTGCTGCTCTGACACATTCCTCAAACACGCTGAAGAGAGGGAAGAGGGGAAAACAGAAGGGGAGAGGATGGAAAGGAGAAGAAAGAGAAAGGGGAAAACGTTAGTGAGAAAGTTAGACTAGAGTGCAGGTCATTTTTTATCTCATTGTTGTGGAAAAAAAGGATAGGGAGAGTGAGTCAGCAAAGAGAGACAGAGACCGAGAGAGCTACGAGATCAAACAAACAGATAGTGACAGAGATGGAGAGGTTGAGAAACAGTGAAAGAAGGAAGGCGACAAATATGTAAAGAGAGACTCCTCTGTCTTTGGAGGCGAAAGAGGTATTAGTTTGCTCCTCTGGTGCCAACTTTATTTCATCTTCGTTTCCTTATGTTCCCCTCCAACTATTACCCGCCCATATACTCTTCACTTCTTTTGTTCTGTCATCTTCATCTTTCTGTGTTAAGTCTCATACCACCAGCCTTGTTGGTAACTGATATCTCCAACTGCCAACGCAAAGATTCACTTGCCGTACCACATGCAAGCAAAACAAAGAGTGTTGTGACTTGTTTACAATAATGTTTGACTCGTATCAGCGTGAGTTCACGACAAAAAACAACTCGACGACACCAGCAAGAATAAGACGCTCACTTCCTCTTTTGCTGCTTTGTTCCCCCTATTTCCTCTCCTCATTCGAATGAAACACATTTGAACCATATCTGTGGAACATCCAAACGGTCTTCAGACTATCTATTGTCTAAATGTGAATTTACCTTGAAACTATCATGTTATACTTCATGCAACATTTGCTGTATGGTTAGTATAGTGGTGCCCTATTGTTGCAATCAATTTTATTTTTTTTAAAGGCACAAATGAAAGCGTGTGCATGTGAAAGTGTGTGTGATCAGCCCTTAGTAAAGTCACACTTCAGTGGCATTCTCCACTTTATCATCCAGATGACCTCCAGTAAAAACTGCTCACCCCAGTAACCCGGGTAATCCCAGATGTGAACTTGACCCTGGACTTCCCCACCGCCAACTCCTGGAAGTCATTATCACTGGCCTTTACCGTCAGAGGAAGCCACTGGGCAAGATGTGCACATGCGTGCAGACAGAAATTAAGAATTACAGTATCTGTCTCTTATGATTTACTTTGGTTCCAGTGGGGGGTTATGACCTCCCCAAGGGGTCGTATGATAAAACTGAGGGGTTTAGAGAAGATTAACTGGACAGGAAAGACCCAAAAACTGTGACGCAAAGTGGGGTCCTTTTCTTTAATCTCCGGTCTTTTCTTGTGAAATACTGCACAGTTCTGCCTCCTCAGGCCTCTAAAAATGAAAATCTTACATGCAGAAACCAATCATGGCGCACAGTTTCCTTTTAAGGAGTCCCACGGTGCCAAAATGTTTGTGAGATACTTCTCTGTTGGACATGCACAACAGTTGTGCACAACAAACAGTCCCAGGGACTCACGCTCACATTCACAGCCAGAAGTGTGTGCGGCACTGTGGGGTGCTGGCATGCACACCCACCGAACCCATGTGGGTGTGATTAGAGCAGAGGAGACGGCAGCGTATAACCTACGTGGAAATGAGAGGCAGAGAATGAGGGAGATCAAAGAGAGAGAGGAAAAAGATAAGAAAACGTGAAGAGAATCAAGAGTGAACGTTGGCATGTGCAGGAGTGTGTCCTCGTCTGTTTGTTATATTGTAATGTGTGTGATCGCAGCTTGCCAAAATCCTGAAACAAAAAAATGTTTCGGAGTCAAAAGTTCCTTGTTTCACGGCAAGATAAGGCCAGCTTTGTGTGAATGCTGTAAATGCATCTCTGTCCACATGAATGTGTGTGTGTGCGCATGCTCGTTCATGTCTCTGTGTTGAAATCTTCCTCTACCAGACATTTGTTAGTCATTTATTATTCCTTAAAATCTGATTTTTCAAGAATCAGAGTGTGTCAGACATTTCTTAAAATCTTTGCCACACACATTTAGTCACTGTATACAGGATGTTTTGTATTTAAAGTGGACAGTGTGTGTGTGTGAGTGTGTGTGTGTGTACATGAGTCAACCTGAGTCTCTTGTGTACATGAGACGAAACCTCCAGATGCCTGGGCAGTTGCACCCAGACGCTTGTATTACTCACACTCTATTCCTTTTGTGCTTCAGCCCCCCCCCCCCCCCAACTCCTAAAATCTCTCTTCCCTCCCCCTCGAGTCTTTGTGGTTCTAATTATCGCGCTCATTTGTTATGAGTTGGTCTGGAGTGAGCGAGAGCTGAGAGAGATTAGATTAGGAAGGAGAAGAACTGGAATTGTGCTGAACCCATTTATTTTGTGGAAGTCCTTTTTTAATGTGGTCCCGCTCATGATCCAATCTTCCCCTCTGTTTTTGCAGTTTGTCTACTCTGTCTGCCACCTACAGTTTAACGAGCCCACGGGCCCCTCTGAGGTGCTACGTGACAACGGCACTGTAAAACGGCATTGTGTGATCTGAATGATGCTGAATTGCTTTACGCTCTAACAGGAAGATGGAGGACAACAGAAGGGAAGGATTTAGAAGAGGGAGGTGAAATATGTAAAGAGAGGAAGGGAAGTAGATGGAGATGTTTGTGAGGATGGTTGTGTGAAGTACAGTGAGCCGAAGTGGTCTGGAGTAGAAGTGGGATGAGGGATAGACGAGAAGAAAAACAAGCGCTGGTTCCCAGACTCTCGTTGCTTTTCACCTCATTTTATGTCCATGTGTTGTGTTTTTTCTAAAAAACGCCAGAAAAGTTCATTAAAAGTGCAGCCCTGTTTTTTTTTTAATCGTGTTACCCCTCCTTCTTGCGTCCTACCGCTCTGGCCCTCCACCCTCCACCCTCACACCGCCTCTCACTCTGCACTCATTCTTTTATTCTCGCGTTGCCTTTCCTCTTTGACCCGAGTCAACGATTGTTGTTCGCTTTTGCTTTTTCCTCAGCCATGTGTGTGTGTGTGTGTGTGTGTGTGTGTGAGTGAGAGAGAGAAAGACCCTATGATGATGTCATGGATTAGGAAGGGCCATAGTTGGATATTTCACTTGAGGTCAACCTCCGGTCACTGTTACTGTATGTGACCACTGTGGGTCCCTCAAGCCTCCAGAATGAACTGACGAAATGGTAACTTATTTTTGTGTTTTATTGTATTTTAATTGTCTTGTATCACACTCAGAGAAATATCATTCCCTGGTGCCACTGGGCAGGAATCATAAAAATTACAAGTTTAGGTGCGTCCTGTGATTTCTTCATGATCATAATGACTTTGCCAATACCTTGTGACAACATGAAAGCATTAAAAAAAAAGATTAAACTTGAACTGTTAACTAATAAACACTTTTATTTTCCTGTCTCTGTAACAGAATCACAAGAAAGAAAAGGAGAGAGGGAAAGGATGTACAGTGATGCACATGTGGCCAAATGGAAAGTTGTAGAAGTTTTACAAGATCAGGGCTGCATATTCTCCGAGGGGCTCGTTTGTGAGCACTACTACCTGCTCAAACACATGTGCAGTCCATGCACCAAAAACAATTCAACAAACATTTTGAGCTGCATCTGCATGCTAAGATAAAAAATAAGAACATTGGATACTAAATGTTCATCTCTAATCTTCTTCTTGAGTGAGACTTGTTGTTTCAGTGATCACAGTGTTTGGAGTTGTTAGTTGTTACTTGACACTGGGAACATAACCAGCTTTGGAAGCAAAGATGGGCAGGTTGATTGCATCAGAAAAAGCATTAGACATCCGGTTTCAGCATTTCTCCTGATGCTCTGTGGGGAAATATTTTTGGTTTTTTAAACTTGCAGTTGTTTTAGGGCTTTTTAGGGGTTTAGGACATGGATGTAGAAATAATATTTAAACTACCATGACCTGTTTAATAACGTGCAGTCTGACCGTTTAGTAGTTTTCCTTGTGGTCCAGCAGAAGGTGCTCTTAAACGTCCCTATCAGCTGGACCCTAATGCACCAGTTAATTAACTAAGCTAATACATGTAACAATGGAGGACGACACTAGCAAGCATTTCATTAACTGAATTGGTCAAGTCCTTAAGGTAACACCTGCATTATAAATAATCTCGTACAGTGGCACTGAATCAAAATCTAGTTTTAAAGCCTTCATAACTTCAGTAAATATTGTGGTGTACATGGTGCATTTTACTAAATTAATCTGTGCTTAATCAACTTCTTAATCATTTAATACTCAAGTTAATCCAGACTTGTTAGAGGTAATAGATTAAATGTCAGCATTAAGGAGCAGATCATTAGTTATTGTATGCTTCTAGCATAGAAAGACATAAAATAATCTGTGTGGAAAAGAGAGAAAGAGATGGAAAAAAACCTCCATCTGAGACATACCTGGTTGATTTGTGTGCTCAAATTAGTATTTCTAATTTGGTGGATGCAAACAGCTAATATAAAAAAAAAAAACCTGACCACCATCAGCCTACATCGTCAGTTAGTCAGATGCGTCTAAAAAGAGAGTTTACATGTAAAATAATAGAAAAGTGACTATTTTTCTTTTTCTAACAAATTTGTGCAATACTGCCATCATCTGTGTGTCGACTGTATCAGCATGTGAGGAGAGCATGTTGAGGCTAATTGATAGTGTGTGTGAAATAGTCCGATCGTCTAATATTCTATATGCCTTTGGCTGTCTACTTTGCTCAATAAGCTACTGCCTCCCAGTACTAGTGATGGTTTTGTTCTCTAATCTTTATGTTCTGACAAAGAAGTGGTTTTGGTGGAGTTTGTATTTGAAAAAGCTTCTCACATGAGCTGTGAGTTTCACTACAAATATTTATGATCCAGAGATCAAGCAAACATTTAAACTGATATCTGTGGGTGTTGTTTCTCTTGTTTGTCTGTTTTAGATTGTCCAGACGACGCTTCATGTTCAGGGTTAAGTTGTTACAATGATCTGTATCACATTTTACGTACTGAAATTAAACCGTCGCGGAAATTGTCTTGTTTATTAAATCATACCATAAATTTATCAAATTAAATTAAATCCAATTCATACAGCAATTCAATTTATGTCTTTTAATGTAAAATACACATCTGTGCCATTCATGCACTAATTACTGTTACTTTAATTGAAATGAAATGCCTTTAGAGCACCACCCCTCTCATTATCTCCCAGTGATGCAACAGATACACAGGCATGAAATAGTGGAATATAACACATTAGATAAATGTTTTTCCCTTTGCTGTTCTGAGATTAATATAGATATAACAAACAACACTTTTCAAATTAAGGTTTTTCTCAAACGTGTTGAGAAGTCTTAGTGTCCCATCTAGATTCTCAAATTAATGGTGGTAGCCATAAACAATAACAAGAAGAGCAGATAACAACCAGAGCCACGTCATTTTATAGCTGGGAGCGTCATCCCCGGTGCGTGTTTCCTGGCAGCCTCTGGCGTTGTTGTTTGGCTTTGCGTCTGCAGAGTTTCCCTCAAAATGGACGGGCAGGCACTGGTTGCTCAGCTCCTCACAGGCCAGGATCAGATGTTTGGTCTCCATTTGGACGCTCCTGATCCCGCACGTCCAATTAGGAGACACACAGCAAGAGTGAGAAAAGCCCCGAGAGCAGCCATTACCCAGCAGCCCTAGAGTGATACAAAAACTGATAAGTCACAGCACTTAGAACAAACAATATACCGTTCAGCACTCACAGTAACCTTTTAAATCTTACTTTTACTGTTTTACCAAATAAGTTACATGACACGTCCGGAAACAATGCGCGCAGAAGAGCAGAGCAAAGTCACAGCTGTGTGTCTCTTCAGTATTTTAAACACGACAGCTGATCGATGAGGGAACCTTCTCTACCTTGTTTTGGTAGCGGGGGAGTCCTCTGTAGAGACCGAAAAGCTCCACATGTAAGATACTTCCTCGTTCCTTCAGTTACGGTGCCACATTTCACTTCCTGTGGGAGTGGACTAAACTGTGTGTGTGTGTGTACTACTTAAATGTGTCCACGGCTGTGATTTAGAGCATGGGGGGATCCAGTTACAGCCATAAATAGCCTACCTGTTTATGGTCCAGTGAGCTATTTTGGGATTTCTCACTGTGTGTGTGTGTGTGTGTGTGTGTGTGTGTGTGTGTGTGTGTGTCTGTGTGTGCTGCCGCCTTCAGCACAGCTGTTTGTATGAGTTTTCCAAATACTAACTTTTGTATTTTAATTTGTTTTGATCATCAGGGCTTAGAATATTACTATGAGATGTGTCCTCGCTATTACAGCAGATGGGTGATGAGCGGAAAAGTCTAATTATTATATATGGAAAATAGAGTACTGTTTTCACATATATACCTACAGGCTTCACCTTTCCACCGGTTTACTAAATAAAAAATATAAGTACCAAAAAATAGGTTTACAGTATATTTTCTGCTAAATACGTCTTAATAGAGACATCAAAATCATGGTATTTCCAGTTAGATCTACAGTAATTCATCTTCTTATACCACTTCTGTATATATATTCTTTAATTTTGGGATACTTAAATTGCTTGAGATTTCATTAAAATGTCCAAAATATAAAGTGATCAAAATAAAATGGGACTGGAAGTTTATATACATGCATACACACTGTGCTTATGGTTGTTTTATTCAGTTTAATCTGAATGAATATGGAAAAAACATGTCTCCCATTTCCAATTGATTCTACTCTGCAAACATTAACGTGATATTTAATACCAACAAATACAAAATTTGTTCAATGGCATCATAAATGCATTACCAACATCAGAGAATATTAGAGCAGTTGACTTACGTGTTAAAACATAGAAAAACGAAACAATTGCTTTCATAGTAAAATATATAAAGAAAGCTTCGTGGTTGTCTCGTCTCGTCTCATTTCTGATTTCTCGGTCTGTTCAGTTTAACTGTGAAACAATCATCAGTCCTCTAGAGTCGAAATGATGACAATAACGACTATCCCTTAAAGTAAATGCATGAAAAAGAAAATATTATAAACGTGCATACTGAGAATTAAATATATAAATGCTTAAGTTATTTATACATTTTACTGTCTCTTTCTCCTGTTGGCCTGATTTATTCATTCATTTTCAAAATGCAGTTCATGACATACTCTAATGCCAATCACGATTCTGGAACAAATCAAAGGCCTTATTTAATGTCCCCACAGTCTGCATAGTTGAGTTAATTAGGTTATGCCTTGAGCTGCTGAAGGTTAAAATACATAAAGCACAACCACTAAGACACCATGTTGTACTATGTGCTGTTGTGGTCCTATAGGTCCTTCATGAATTCAGAGCATAATGAATAAGGATGCACCGATCCGACTTTTTTAGTCCTGATACCGATAGTGATACCTGGGCTTTGAGAATTAGTAGAAGTATCGATCTGATACCAGGTTAATTAATAAGCCATAGGCCTCACTGTGTGGAAAAGACTGGGGTCATTCTTTTATGTGTAAGGCAACATCAGGCTTCACTTAAACATCACTTTCTTTCTTTGTAAAACAAAATGTAACAAGGAAATATGTAGATATAAATTCAGTGAATTGTTATTTATTATTAAAATAATGCAACAGCAACTTGGTAAAACATCTTCAAGATTAACAGGAATTACAATTCAAGTGTAAATCTTTTCAATGCAGCAAGAAAGTGGTCAAAACTTCAACAGGAATTTAAACTGCAGTATATAAAGTTTATAGAATTAAATTGAGTAGATCGGCCCCATTGTCATTGACTGATCCAGGTATTTGAGTCGGTATCGGCCGATATCCGATATACTGTAGGTGTATTTCAGCAAGTTAAATGTTGATGGATCTTTGTAGTTTAATAGTTTATTGTCTCTTTGTTTAATTATTGAGAATTCTGTCAACAATATATGGACATTTTGTAAGATTTCTTTGCTCCAGACTAAACGTTGCATTGTTGCAGTCCAAAAAAAGATTCCCCCACTTTAAAATAGCTGTTGGGAGTTGTAGTCAGAACAACACACACACACACACACACACACACACACACACACATGCAAAATTAAGAAATCAAAGCAGGTGAGGTTGCCAAGTTCGGTATTTTAATGAGGTGCCCATGTTGACAAGTTATATACGACAAAAAATATCAGTCAGACAAATAGAACCAATAACACTTTTTGCAATAGAATGAACACATGTACATAAATATAACTCATCCATTTACAATATAATCCTCTAAATTGAGTTCAGGGATGTAGTGTTTGAACAGCATCAGTCTGTACCCAAAATCCCTCAAAACCTTAATCATAGATTTTCATTTCATAAGACCTCCTGTGTGTCAATGCTCAAGTCCAGGGGCTAAATAAAATCGTAACATTACATTGAATTCACAGGTAGATATTTCATAAGTCTATTACATGTCATACAGTGCAGTGTGCTTGTGTTTCAAGGCAGGAAGATGAAATAACATCCAAACGTGTAACAAACAAAAAAACAGCAAAATATATCTTACAATGTATTTACATGAACCAATCATGCATCCCAGACATTGCAAGAGCGAACATACGACTCAGCAAACTGACGTAGTAACACCAACTGCTTCGCGTGCAAACTGAGTGTGTTGCGAGTGTCTGGACTGAATCCCTGAAGTGGGCTGTGCCGTCAGCTAGGGCTCGGTGTGAGGAGACGGTGAGGGCTCTCCTTTCTTTTCTGCTTCAGACGTCGGGTTCAGAGCCATGTCTTGTTTTTTCTCTTTCTCTTTCTCTGGCTCCTTCATCCTGAAACATGAAAGACAAGAGCAATTCCCACTGAGTCTGACGAATGCTTCTAGCACGCTGTTAGTGTAGAGTGTTATGTTGTCCAGCAGAGGTCCTCATTTGTTAAAGAATACATGGAAGGTTGTGCATGAGTCGATGGCTTTGGTGTACTATAAAAGAATTAGTGGAGGTCTGAATGTTGAATTTAGGTCCACCATGAGAATGTTTTACCCCTCAGCCACTGAGATATGTTGTATGATATGTAAGTGGATAAATAAGTACAAATCATTCATGTTATAATAAACAAAGAGGGAAGGAATGTGCTAAAGTGGCCGCATAAGGCTCCTTTACAGTTTGAATGTCCACCGGAGGCTTTTCAAAAGATAGTTTTGAGTTGTTTTGCCGACATTCTTTAAGCTCTAGTACTACAAAGAGAGGTGTTATAGAAGAGGATGAGTCACTATAAATGGGTGGTTAAAGCAGAGAGAGGTGGTCAGGAATCTAACTCTTCGGTTAAGGTTTTGAGGTCAAAGGTTATAATTTTTAACGTTAACCTTGACATGGGAGCAGGCCGGTTACTGGGTAGGACGTCCCAGCTAGAGGTAGAGCTGTCACAGATCAAAAGACAGAATCACATGACCAAAACAGAGAGAAGATATTTATCATTTCAAAGAGGCCGTGTGCAAAGAGTTCAAAACTCACTCTCTCTCCATCCTCCGCTCTGGGAGGTGACATTTTAAAGTCATCGCACACGGCGGATTGACATTATGAAAGCCAGTGGTTCCCAAAGGGGGGTGTAGGGCGCTCTGAAGGCTCCCTGGATGCTTGTGAAGGGGGAGTGAGGTTTATGATAATTTCACTGTAATCTCATTTGAAGATTGAATCTCTGTTCAAATTTCAAAATCGTATTTTGATCCTTAACATCAAGACTCTGAGATAACACATACTGGAACCTTTATGGGGACTTTGGGAACCCCTGGAGAGTTTAAATGACTGACTGGTGGGACCCACCACATACTTTCATTAATCAGTGGTGATTATGAGAGAAAATATTGGGAAACAGCCATGTTATTGCAGCATAATGTCAGAGAATTAGATTATCCTTTGCGCTGATCTTTGAGTTGTTTTTAACTTTTATTGTGAAACCTTACAAAGAGGATTATACATTTACTGACATCTTCAGTAGAGGTCAATGCCAAAAACATCATTTGACCTTTTATTTTTTATTTTTTTTAAAGAAAGCTGATGGTGTTTTGAATCCGATCTCATCAAGTGATTGTATGTGTTTGTACTGTGATACTCACTTGTTTCTTGTAGATGCTTGAATAGGTTCCTTGACCCAAAGTTTTATATCAATTTATTATCAATTCATATCAATGAGGATAGACTTAATAATAGAACAATTGGCTCCGATAAGGATGTGGATTGAAACACAATGAAATGCTGGTTCTGTATTTCCTCAAACATATTTTGGCCATTTCTTTTTACTTGTTTGCTACATATACCAATATATGTGTTATAAACCCAAATCAGACAGTAGTACCAGCCATGCCAGTGTGTTGGTCAGACTCTAAGTTATATCAGGTTTTCAACATAGATCTCAAATGTCCCTGCAGTGTGCACACATGACTTCAGTTTTTGTAAAATAAAAATGGTGTTTATAAATAGATTTTAAAATGCTGTATTATATTCCCAGTTTTTTCAATAACCCTTTGTTTGTCATGCTATTGATCAAAGATCTGCGCTTCAGGATATCTGTCAAGCACAAAAAGAAGAAGTCACGCTGTCAGTGCAAAGTTGTGCATCCTTGTCAGTAATGAGATCAGGTAAACCACCTGTTTACCACGACTGATTCACGGTGGAGGAGTGTAAAAAATCTGCCAAGAGATAGGAGGGGGAGAATGAGAAGAGACGGGGTACTTCCACATTGACAGCTCCCACCGTTTCTGCAGATTAAAACCAATTAAACCAGAACAGCGGCAGACTTGTGGCAGCCTCCAGCCATTGAAAGAACCAGAAACAGGGAAATTATGGAGCATCGCAGCGAAGCGCCTCACCGTATCGTCTTCACGATGAAGCGAATGATCACTGCCAGACCTACACAGCCACACATCACTCCTATTACTATAGCTGTGACTTCACCTGCAGAAGAAAAGAAAACAACAGAGCTGTTGAATAATTAAAAGTATTGATGTGATTATCAGTGGTATCTGGCAGACAGTTACTTACAAAAAATACAGTAGAAAGCACAAATA